CTAGTACATATGGTAAGATAATTTTTAACTGTGCATCTTTGGTGGCACGCCACGGGTTGGCCACGGGTGTGCTATGCCTCCCAGATGTTCCGGTGTGATTGCGCCCGGAAAATCCACCGAACAACCATGCCTTTCACACAGCAAATGCTCTGTGTGACCGGGGCCATAATATATTTTTACTTGGTTTTATATTGAGCAATACTTTGTTTTATTATTGCAGCATTGAGCCTATATGTAATCTTTATGTTTGACCACTGAAGAAGGCCAGTTGGCTGAAATACAACTACTTTTGGGTCACATAAGGTCCTATTTGTGACTATTGTACGATTTTAATTCTTATTGAGGCTACATTTGGGCTGATAAATGTTTTTAAATCATTTTGTAATACACACATGTATTTTTGATAACCTGTATTATCTATATGTTAATGTTCTATATCTACTGGTTTTAAGATTGGGCCCTCCAATTTGTATGTATTTAACCTTTTGGGGTTTTAATTAATATTTCTTGGGCTAAGTTTTTTCCTGCATTCCTTTTTCTTCTTTAGTTAAAAAATTTATCCCACATTTTTCAGATATTGACCTAACCATCATCTGCTTCTTAGGTGCTGTATCATACTTGACAGGACTTTCTCATGTAATAATCTGAACCCACGAATTCCTAACATGGTGCTTGTGGGCACCATGGCAACTGCTGACTCTTTTCCTGGCACTTGCCAAGTGTTTCTGGAAAGTTGGTTGTGCCAGTTGGGGGTTTTGCCCAGCAAGGCTCCTGATTGGCCATTGGAGAATGGATTGGCTATGCAGATCCTCAGCACAAGGATCTGCATTGTGTGACTGAAGGTAAGCTGTGGCAGCCATTTTGTGGTTGGCTTTGCTTCCTGTGGCTGCCATTTTGTGGTTTGGCCCAGCACACAGCGTTTTTAATTCCAAAGGTGCCTGCAACCTTGAGCAGGTTGGGGTTGGGGCCTTCTGTCCTAACCAGTCAGGGATCATATATCAAACATGATGATCTCACTAGGCCCTACCTTGGTAACCTTCATTGGTGATTTCATGCAAGACAATTGTCCCAAGACAGCTCTTGTCACCTGTAGGTAGGGTAAAATGCTAGGGCGAAATGTGGATTGGGTGTACATCTATGTGCATATTCACATGCTTTGCACTGAAAGTTAAGCAATGTGAATGGGTGAGATCTGCAGTCTGATGTGTGTCATGATACACATCCATTTCACAGAGCTTACCCTTCTGCTCCTTATTGCATTCCCAGAGATATATTCAGTTATTCATCTACATCTGCTTAGTTTTTCACATTGTGCTCCTGCTAGCCAGTGGCATCAGCCCTGTTTGACTCGGCAATGAAACAGTGGTTTTCTCTTTACTCTGCCACTCAAACTCTTTCATAATGACCATTTGCACTCGGCTTGGTGAGAAATGGGTGGTGCCAGTCACAAAGCAAAGTTTAAAGGGGGATTGCAACCATTTTTAGTTCTAATAGGTCCAATGAGCTTCTTGCTGGGTCCAAAGAGCTTCTCGCTGGTGAAAAAGGGAGGAGGCCAACCCAAAAGATACTATGCTTGGAATCATGTGAGTTGTATTGACAAAAGTCATTTGGGATGGGGACTGTAATAGGGAGGAAAATTGGGTGAGATGGAGTGAAAATCCTGATTGAATCCCACTTAACGTTTTTTAAATATATTGAAATTTGGAAGCATGTAAAAGAATCACATGGAGCTGCGGTGGCTCAAGTGGTTAAGACGCTGAACTGCAGGCTGTGGAAGGTCGGTAGTTCAGCAGTTCAAGACCGGGGTTGCCGCATGACGGAGTGAGCTCCCGTCTCTATTCCAGCTCCTGCCAACCTAGCAGTCCGAAAGCAAGAAATTGCAAGTAGAGAAATAGGGACCACTTTGGTGGGAAGGTAACAGCATTTCATGCGCCTTGGTGTTTAGTCATGCCGGCCACATGACCACAGAAACGTCTTCAGACAGCGCTGGCTCTTCGGCTTTGAAACGGAGATGAGCACCGCAACCCTAGAGTCGGACTCGACTGGCTTTCGAGCAAGGGAACCTTTACCTTTTAAAAGAATCACAAAGAGTTATGCTCTACAGCATATACAGAGTTAGCTCCAACATGAGTTGCCTTTGTCCCAAGGAGGTTCAGCTCAGTGATGAGATAATTTGTCAGTAGCCACAAAATATCATCTGCACAGGCCATGTTCCGTCTTTTAAGTGTTGCTTGTTACATTTGCCTCTCCCATTCCTCTTCCTCTTCTGCTGTATTCCTTCTCCAGCCTCTCCCTTGACTATCCTCTCCTGTGGTTGATATTCAGATTGTAAACTCTTTGGGAGGAATATTATTCTGGCTCTTATGCGCCATGAGAAATAATGACAAAGTAAAAATTAACGCAACAATAATTTTCTATAACAACATTCTGTATATGGGTATCACCATACTCTCTTGCACAGCTTCCAAGCAGCTCAGGAAAATATATGTGCATTTCTCCCTTTATCATTTTAATCTCACAACAACCCTGTGAAGAAGGCAAGGCTGAGAGATAGTCTTTGTCACTCTGTGAGTGCACGAGTAAGAAGCTGGACCCTGGATCTTAGCTTGAGATCAGTTCTTATGCATCCGCTTGTCCGCTTTCTTTGCCCGAACTGCTTTGCCGATGCAGAATGGAGAAATACCTTTGAAAAGCTTAGAAGAAGAGGGAGGTAATAGCGCTCCCTCATACATATCTATCTGGCCAATCCTCAAAGAAGCTCTCAGGGGTTTCCATAGTTCTCCTTTCCCCACTTTATCCTCACAATTTGGTTATGCTGAGAGAGAATGATCGTCCCAGAGAGCTTCTTGGGTGAATGGAGATCTGAAACCATCTCAGGTCTTCCTTACCTTGCAAGCCTATTTGCATGCATAGCAACCAACACAACCCTCTCATTAGGGAAAGGGGCAAAGACTGTGGGCATAAAGAGGTGACTTGAATGGTAAGCAGCTATGCTGCATCTGGAAGCTAGAATGAAGGGCTAGGGAAAGCAGAGGCAGCAGTGAATGAATGATGTTTATTTCCGGTCAAAGACCATTCGTCAGAATAATACATATTTGTTCAATACAAACAGATTAGCTTTCAGTCCAAAAGTATATATTTAGAGATATAACCTTAAAACCATTAAAATGTAAAAAAATAAAAAGTTTAACTGTCCATTATATCAGAATAACTATGAAAATGTCTAAAACTAAACTAATTATAAATCATACAAAAGGTGATTGAGGGTATTTATTGTGGAATTTTGCCAGCTGGAAGCAGGATTTAGCTATTTGTCTGGAGTTTTGCTGATCTTCCTCTGTCAGAAGTCTCTCTAGAACAGCACTATCTGCATCAGGTGCTGGCCTATCTCAGAGGGGAGAGATAAGCTTATCCCTGTAAACTTGATGAAAGGGGCAGCGGAAGAACATATGGGGCACCGATTCCACTTCTCCCAAGGAACATGGGCAGCACCTGTCTTCATATGGTATCTTTCTATATTTTCCCTCTAGAACAGTGGTTCTCAACCTTCCTAATGCCGCGACCCTTTAATACAGTTCCTCATGTTGTGGTGACCCCCAACCATAAAATTATTTTTGTTGCTACTTCATAACTGTAATTTTGCTACTGTTATGAATCGTAATGTAAATATCTGATATGCAGGATGTATTTTCATTGTTACAAATTGAACATAATTAAAGCATAGTGATTAATCACAAAATCAATATGTAATTATATATTGTGAAATATTTATTTCTAATTACAGGCGACCCCTTAGACGACCCCTGTGAAAGGGTCGTTCGACCCCCAAAGGGGCCGTGACCCACAGGTTGAGAACCGCTGCTCTAGAACCTTAGAGGGAATAGGAGGCAGCAGTGGGATCCCCAGGAAGGAAGCAAGGAAGGAAAAGAAAGGTACCAGGAGAGTCAGAAAATAAGTTTAGGCTAGCCCCTTCCCACTGACTCGGGTTAAGCTGGTCTTTATGGGTATTGCTTAACGACATTCCTACCATTAGAAGCTATTCCATTAACCTCGATTGTAACATGACATTGATTGATATTGTCCTACTAGCAGGCCTGTAGCCATGGGGGCATTTGGGGGCATTGCCCCCTACCGATGAATGCTGCCCCTCAGACAAAAGAAATAGATTTAAAAAATGTTTTTTATTGCAAGTACCAGGAGAGTCAGAAAATAAGTTTAGACTAGCCCCTTCCCACTGACTCGGGTTAAGCTGGTCTTAATGGGCATTGCTTAAAGACATTACTACCATTAGAAGCTAAGGGGGTGTGGCATATGCTAATGAGTTATGCTAATGAGTTCCCCTAGCTCTTTTTCTACAAAACGACCCCTGGTAGCAGGCCTGTAGCCATGGGGGCATTTGGGGGCATTGCCCCCTACCGATGAATGCTGCCCCTCAGACAAAAGAAATAGATTTAAAAAATGTTTTTTATTGCAAGTTGCACGTGGGTGTTCCGAAATGACCCCAGGCACAGTCAAAGAAACTTCAGTCACATTTTTTTTCTTTTTTTCCAGGCCAAAAATTAAACGGGTTTTTAAAAATGCAATGAAATAAAATAGCCGAAAATAGAATAAAATTGCGAAATGAAAAATAGAGTTGGAGATTCCCCCCCCCGGCTTATGCAGAAAAGGAGTCCAGAATCGAGTCTCTACAATGGAGGGGACTAGAGGACCAGAGGAGGACTAGAGGTCGCAGTGGAGCCGGAGCTGCCGCTTCTGCCGTTGCAAGAGGAGCAGCAGGTGTGCCCAGGGTGCCCCCCTCGGTTTCTCCATGCCCCGCCAACCGAAATTTTCTGGCTGTGCCCCTGCCTACTAGAGATCATAAAATACAAAGAGGCAATCCAAGTTTACAAAATGCACCAGGGGACCTAACCCCCACTAGCTATGGCAGCGATTGTTCCCAAATAGCAAGCAGATCGGCATGTGCATTTGAGTTAATGGCTGTCCTGCTTCTCCCCATGACCCTACTTCATCCTCTTCCTTTGCAAGCGTCTGGATACTGCCTCCTTCACCTGGTCGTTCCGAAGGCAGTAGATCAGCGGGTTAAGCAGAGGGGTGACGGCAGAGTAGAAGAGAGTCACGACCTTCGTTGTCTCTGCGCGATCTTCCCCGTTCGGCTCTACGTACATTGCGACCACAGAGCCATAGAAAAGGGTCACCACGGCCAGGTGGGAAGAGACTGTGGAGAAGCCCTTCATACGGTTGCTCCGGCTTGATTTTTTGACCAGGGTGAGAGTTACAAATGCGTACGAGACTGCAATGAACAGAAAGGTGGCCAGAACAACAGAGGAGACAAAGATGTTGAAGAGGCGGGGTACATACCCCAGCGGGGGGCAAGCCAAAGCAAAGAGGGGACCCGGATCACACACAAAGTGGTCAATAGTGTTGGGGCCGCAGAAGGATAGCCTGGAGATCAGGAACACTGGTGCTGCGTACCACAAGAAACCAAGGATCCAGCAAGCAGCCACCAATTTGTAGCAGGCCTCTTGAGACATCATTTTCGGGTACTGCAGTGGGCGACAGATGGCCAAATAGCGATCCAAGGCCATGGCCGAGAGGAAGAAGCATTCGGTATTGCCGAGGGAGAAGAAGTTGTAGAATTGGAGGAAGCAGGCATGGAAGGAGATGACCCCATATGGGAAGGACAGGTCAAAGAGCATCCTTGGCACTGTGGCACTCACATAACACATCTCTAGCCAGGAGAAGTGGCTGAGCAAGATGTACATGGGAAGGCGGGCCAGGTGAGAGTCTTGAACGACTATCGTGATGATGATGATGTTCTCAGCCAAAGTGAGGGCATAGACAGCCATGAAGAAGATGAGAAGGAGCAGGCGTCCCTGTTGTCCAACCCTGAAGCCCAGCAGGATGAACTCCTGTACTGTGGTCCCATTGCCCACCTTCGTCTCATGCACAGGACCACTCTGCATCATCGTTCAATAGAAAACAAAGCTCTTCCATCCAAAGCTTGGAGCAGATTCTGCCGTTGCAAGAGGAGCAGCAGGTGTGCCCAGGGTGACCCACTCAGTTTCTCCATGCCCCACCAACCAAAATTTTCTGGCTGTGCCCCTGCCTACTAGAGATCATAAAATACAAAGAAGCAATCCAAATTTACAAAATGCACCAGGGGACCTAGCCCCCTCTAGCTATGGCAGCGATTGTCCCCAAATAGCAAGCAGATCAGCATGTGCATTTGAGTTAATGGCTGTCCTGCTTCCCCCCATGACCCTACTTCATCCTCTTCCTTTGCAAGCGTTTGGATACTGCCTCCGTCACCTGGTCGTTCCGAAGGCAGTAGATCAGCGGGTTAAGCAGAGGGGTGACGGCAGAGTAGAAGAGAGTCACGACCTTCGTTGTCTCTGCGCGATCTTCCCCGTTCGGCTCTACGTACATTGCGACCACAGAGCCATAGAAAAGGGTCACCACGGCCAGGTGGGAAGAGACTGTGGAGAAGCCCTTCATACGGTTGCTCCGGCTTGATCTTTTTACCAGGGTGAGAGTTACAAATGCGTACGAGACTGCAATGAACAGAAAGGTGGCCAGAACAACAGAGGAGACAAAGATGTTGAAGAGGCGGGGTACATACCCCAGCGGGGGGCAAGCCAAAGCAAAGAGGGGACCCGGATCACACACAAAGTGGTCAATAGTGTTGGGGCCGCAGAAGGATAGCCTGGAGATCAGGAACACTGGTGCTGCGTACCACAAGAAACCAAGGATCCAGCAAGCAGCCACCAATTTGTAGCAGGCCTCTTGAGACATCATTTTCGGGTACTGCAGTGGGTGACAGATGGCCAAATAGCGATCCAAGGCCATGGCCGAGAGGAAGAAGCATTCGGTATTGCCGAGGGAGAAGAAGTTGTAGAATTGGAGGAAGCAGGCATGGAAGGAGATGACCCCATATGGGAAGGACAGGTCAAAGAGCATCCTTGGCACTGTGGCGCTCACATAACATATCTCTAGCCAGGAGAAGTGGCTGAGCAAGATGTACATGGGAAGGCGGGCCAGGTGAGAGTCTTGAACGACTATCGTGATGATGATGATGTTCTCAGCCAAAGTGAGGGCATAGACAGCCATGAAGAAGATGAGAAGGAGCAGGCGTCCCTGTTGTCCAACCCTGAAGCCCAGCAGGATGAACTCCTGTACTGTGGTCCCATTGCCCACCTTCGTCTCATGCACAGGACCACTCTGCATCATCGTTCAATAGAAAACAAAGCTCTTCCATCCAAAGCTTGGAGCAGATAAAGCAAATAATGCTGGGCAATCAGTCGTCCTACAGCTCAGAGCAGGCTGGTGTTCCTGAGGCAAGGATTCCTGTTTGTAGAGATAGCCACTGGTGTGTCCAAGTTATGCTGAAGAAGAAGAATCCAATTTCTGAATATGGTTACATTTTTTTAAAAAAATCAAATATCGTTACCAAGAAGAAGGTTTAGATCAGAAGTGGTCTGGCTTCAGTCTTGTGTGACCTTGTCTGTGTGGGGGGTTTTTTGCTAGAACCCTGGTGATCTGCTCAGACCTTTTTAAATTTATAAAGCAATCTGGCACATTCATTGTCTCAGGACAGTTACAGAGCAACTATGTCGAGTCCTCTAGAGTGTACAGTTGTGCTGGAAAGAATAGCCCTTACTAGACCAACCCAAAGCTCCGTTTATCCAGAATTCAATGCAAAAACCACAGTCCACCTGAAATTAGCCAGTGGTCCTCCAACGGACCTTGATTTTCCTTCTACACATATCAGCTTAAGTGGCAACCAACCATTCGGTCCTTCTCTTTAAGAAAGGTGGAATGAAGCGCAAGCCTTTCCACCTCTACCCACTATTTCCCATCTTTATTGCTGTACCTTAGTCATTCTCAGAAAGCTGCTCCAACTAACCAGGGACTTGATGTAGACACATTGCTGGCTTTGGGGGGTGGGGCCTTAGGTACTACTCCTTTTATCAAAATCTGGGTTGAAATGCCATCTTCTTTGTGGTGAAAACAGACAAGATTTTATCATGTGGGTGGACTTTAGGCAGGTTGGCCTTACAAAGGATGGATTAGGTCTGTATAGAGGATGGATCATGTTTTTAAAGGATTGCTATGAAGACTGCATCTAAAAAAAAATGGCCCTTGGGAAGTTGTCTACAGAGAGTAATTCTGTTTTCCAGAAACTAAATTTTCCTTAGAGATCAATTGCCTACTGGAGATTTAGTAATTTACAAGATCTTCTTATCTTTCTGGGTACCAAATCCCCTGCACGGAATAGATGGAGCTATGGAGGTGGGGCTCACACTGGGATTACTTTGGCTATGCGGGGCTTTCTTCCACATGTCCAGTGAACCTGCTGCTTGGTCAGTTATGACTAGGGCTATGTGCTTGGATACATTCAGTCCAAAGATATACCTGGAGAAGTTGGCTTGGCGTGGATTCTCTGGTTTGACATTGGTTGTATTGGGCTTGCCACATTGGCCTGCGATTTTGCTGGGTTCTCTGGTTTGATGTTTGTTCTGTTTGTATTGGGAGGCTTTTGGTCAGTGGCTGCATGCATTTGGGTGTCTGGCTATTCTTTGCCCTGGAGAAAGCTCCTTTAAAGGGAAACCATGGAGGATGGCTGGGGATCAAATTGGTTCAGTTTCCATGAAACATGTAGAAACTTTAGGGGACAGGTAGCACTAACCCTGCTGCGATTTTAGTGCCATCTTCTCAAAAAACAGCCACTTCAACTTTTCAGAAATATTCCCCATAGGGAATAATGGACCCAAATAGTTTTGGAATCCCAAAACATCCCAAATCTGGATATCAAATTGGTATTTGGGACTGGAATAACTCAGAATACTGATAATTATGCCCTCCCCAATATCTGGATCTAAAGACCAAACAACATTTTGTAAACAGCCTTGATGCCCCCTGGATCTCTCTCCACCAAGTTGCCACTGATGTCATAACTAGGGATGTTCACCTAAAAGGGGGGGGGCTTTTAGGTGAACATCCCTAGTTAAGACATCAGTAGCAACTTGGTGGGGAGAGGTCCAAAGGCATCAAGGCTGCTTACAAAATGTGTTTTGGATTCCTTTGTGTCCATGCTGCACATTTTGGAGGCTTCTGTTTATTCTGTTGGCTGTTGATTTAATGACCAGCAAATGATATGAGACCTGGAAGGTTTCTTCTGCATATTTGATTCAGAAAAGTCCTGTTCTCATTTGTCTTGTAGTCCAACCCTGGGGGGAAGGGGCATGTCTAACCTACTTTTGATTTATTGACATTCGCCACAGAAATCTCATGCTCAGAGTTCTGAGTCTAGGACCCAGGTTAAAACATGAAATGGCTGAGTGATTAAGAGAGTTTGGTGAAGCAAGCTATGATGCAGCAGCAGCAGCAGCAGCAGAACTGGAAGCAGGAGATGGCCAGTTCTACTACGGGCCTGATGGAAGCCCTCCGGGGGCCTGATCTGGCCCCCGGGCCGCATGTATGACACCCCTGGGTGGTTTTAATGCTGATGTTTGCAATTGTGTTATACGTGTCAGATTGTAATGGTCTTTGGCCACAGGCAATAAACTTTATTGTATCATAACTAAACAAAGAGCTTCTTGTATGATCACAAGCAAATCACTTTCCCATGGATCGTTGATGGTGTCAATATTGCAGATATTAGTCTTCTGCTAAGACTTCTGTGCTTATACAGAAAGATTAGAGATGGAAGGTAATAATTAATTAAATAACAATTTAAACAGTAACTTGATCATTATTATTTTAATAACAACAGCAAAAAGAACAACTACCATTGTGCCAGTTGTCATGGAAGCCCTTGGGCCAGTGCCTAGAAGCCTCAAGAAACACCTGGACCTTCTGAACATTCTGAACAATAATACCATTCTGAACAAATAATACCAGCTAAGCTCCAAAAGGCAGTGTTGCTTGGAACGGCAAGAATCCTGCAAAGATACATATGCAGTTCCCAAGAACCTGGCTAGATCTTGAATTGCAGAACACCATCTGTCAGTCAAACATATGACTGTGACAACTGATGATGGTGATGATAATAAATGTAAACACCAAGCTACAATTTATGGACACTGAAGCTGCATTACACTGAAATCAGACCTTTGGTCTATCACGATAAGTATTGTCTACTCAGACTGGCAGCGGGTCTCCAGAGTCTCAGGCAGACAGAGGTCTTCCACATCACCTACTGCCTGGTCCTTCACTGGAGATGCAGGAGATTGTACCTGGAACCTTCTGCATGCTAAGCAGAGGCTCTACCACTGAGCCATGGCCCCTCCCAATACACTAGTTAATTTGCATGTCATTTTTATTTTGTTGCCCTGGTAAAAAAGCTCATCCCTTCAAAACCACATGATTGACTGCACACAGATACCATTTGGTGCATTGCCAATAGTGTATAGAAGTACTACTATACGTATAACTTTTTAGTCTGAGAACAGACCTGGAAGACATTTTCCCTCTGTGTGTGTTATTTTTCAAACAAGCACTTTGGTGATGACATCCAGCTTATAAATACACCCTATAAAGTTTCTATTGAAAACCACCTTGTGGCCTCTAGCCACATAACCAATTGGACTTTAGGTAAAGTTTGGGACATTGTACAAGTCACTTTGGTTCATCTGAAAAACAGCTCAGTTTTGTTCGCTCTTCACACAAGAATGAGAGAAAATGCACTTGTTCCTCAACCGCCCCATAGCCTCCTTCATTTCATGATTCCTTAGTGTATATATGATAGGATTGAGGGCGGGCGTGACCACTGTGTAGAATATGGAAGCCATCTTGTCCACCCTGGAGCTGGAGAATGGTATGAGATACACAAAGAGGCAGGGTACAAAAATCAGGCTGACCACCATCAAGTGTGAGCCGCAGGTGGACAGGGCCTTCCCTCCCCTTTCCTTGAAATGGCCCTTAAGAGTTGCTATGATGACGCCATAGGAGACAAGCAAGATGAGGAAGGAGACCAGGGAGAGGAGGCCACTGTTGGCCACCATGAGGAGCTCTGTGACATAGGCATTGGCACAAGCGAGCCTGACCAGCTGTGGGACGTCACAGTAGAAACTGTCCAGCTCATTTGGGCCACAAAATGGAAGCCGGAGGATCAGAACCAGTTGGGTTGCAGAATGGATGAAGCCTCCGACCCAGCACGAAACAAGTAGCCTGACGCAGCGTGGCCGGTTCATGGCGACCCTGTAAGTCAGTGGTAAGCCATGAGTGTGAGAAGCAGCATCTCTGAACCACCCAAAAAGTGGAGGAAGAAGAACTGGGCCATGCAGCCCCCAAATGAAACGGTCCTGCCACAGGTCACGAGGCCGGCCATCTTCTTCGGGGTGCGCGAACAAGACATCACAGTAGAAACTGTCCAGCTCATTTGGCCCACAAAATGGAAGCCGTAGGATCAGAACCAGTTGGGTTGCAGAGTGGATGAAGCCTCCAACCCAGCACGAAACAAGTAGCCTGACGCAGCGTGGCCGGTTCATGGTGACCCTGTAAGTCAGTGGTTGGCAGATGGCCACGTAGCGATCATAAGCCATGAGCGTGAGGAGCAGCATCTCTGAACCGCCAAAAAAGTGGAGGAAGAAGAACTGGGCCATGCAGCCCCCAAATGAAATGGTCCTGCCACAAGTCACCAGGACGGCCATCATCTTCGGGGTAGCCACACACCCCAAGGCAGCATCGATGATGGACAAACTGGCCAGGAAAAAGTACATGGGGGACTGATGGAGGCGGGGCTCTGTGGTCACAGTTACCACAATGAGAAGGTTGCCAGACATAATGGTAGTATAGCAGACCAACATTGGGACGAAGAGAAGGAGTCGGATGGAATGGGAGCAGGAGATACCCAGGAAGATGAACTCAGTTACAGTGGAGCCATTCATGGAGAGGACATAACCTGGGGAAGAGAAGATGGTTAGAGGACTGTGGTGTTCTGACCAGCCCTTCATGTGCAACACAGCAGCCATAAAGACAAATCCAGGTGGACAGCCGTGTTGGTCTGAAGAAGCAGAACAAATTTTGAGTCCAGTGGCACCTTTATGACCAACAAAAGTTTATTCAAGGTATGAAATGGAAGTTAACAGTGCAATATATATATGCAGTGCAATATATATATGCAGATACCTCTATACAGATGAACAGCAAATTAACATATATCTTTAGCAAATGGAGACTGTATGAACTTAGCTTGCTATTTCTGTTCAATCTTTGCATATGTCAAAACATCTTCATTAAGTTGTATGCTAATTTGCTGTTCACCTATGTAGAGGCATCTGCCTATATAGATGAACTGTTAACTTCCATTTCAATGTATCTGAGGAAGTATGCTTGCACAGGAAAGTTCATACCTTGATACAACAGCCATAAGGTATTGGAATTCTTAGACACTGGTGAACAAAGTTCGCAAAGCTTGTTTTATGACATTTATGAGGCCGTAGATGCTATCAAAATAAACGTCAATCAAAATAATTTTCTGTAAAGGCATTCTGAGTCAAAATATTGGTTAATCAAAACCAGTATTGTCTCCTCTGACTAACATTGGATCTCCAGGGTCTCAGGCAGAAGTCTTTCACATTAGCTACTGCCATATACTTTTTTTTTAAATTAACCACGGAGGACTGAACCTGGGACCTTCTGCATGAAAAGCCGATTCTCTACCACTGAGTCATAACCCCTCCCCAGATGGTGGACTGTGGAATGAGATATTCTCTTATATTGGTATTTTCCACCAATGGGAAAAGAACGAAGGAAGGAAGAATTAAGGAAAGAAATGTCTTCTAAAGACTTGATAGACAAGGGTGAAAAAACCAAACTGCCTGTCCAAGATCAGTTAATTGTTGAGGCACGACCAATCTCTTAAACGAATATGAGAATTTGCACTCTTGTGTAAAAATGCAATCCTAAACAGGTCTACTCAGTGTAGCTTACTCCCAGGAAAGCGTTCTTGGTATTGCACTGTAAGAAAATTCATTGCTGGTTTAGACCAAAAATCATCTAGTTCAGCATGTTTCAGAAGAACCCCAGTACTGAGTAGACCAGTGACCCAAAAAGCAGACTGTGGTCTACCTTCTATCAACCTTTGTTTCATTCTTCATAAGAACATAAGAGAAGTCAATGTCATATCAGGCCAATGACCCATCTAATCCAACACTCTGTCACACAGTGGCCAAAAATACCAGGTGGGCCAGCAGTGGGGCCAGGCCAACAGAAGCTCTCCCACTGTTGCCCCCCCCCCAAGCACCAAGAATACAGAGCATCACTTGCCCCAGCCTGAGAGTTCCTATCTATACCTTGTGGCTAAGAGCCACTGATGGACTTCTGCTCCATATGCTTATCTAATTCCCTCTTGAAGCCGTCCATGCTTGTAGCCGCCGCCACCTCCTGTGGCAGTGAAGTCCATACTTCAGGGTCCCTTAGAACATAACATAGGTAAAAAAGAGAAAATCAATCTCTGGCTAGCCCAAATTCTGTATGAGGAATGGCTTTCATTCTTAACTCTCTAGATTATAGTGGGTCCCTTAGAACATAACATAGGTGAAAAAGAGAAAGTCAATCTCTGGCTAGCCCAAATTCTGCATGAGGAATGGCTTTCATTCTTAACTCTCTACTAAGACTGGGCTTTGTTTTGCAACTGAATTTCCCGGCTGCAACAAGGGATGAGAAGTGAATTTGAGGGGTGAGGAGGCTGAAGCTTTGTCATAGCTTGGCACACAGCACTTCCACTCAGAGTTAGGGTTCCCACGAGTGAAGGAAGGGCCCTCCTGCATGCTAGACTCTTTACCTTCCCCTTACTAACCTGTCAAGCTCCAGGGATGATAAACCTAGCTGCCACCAGCCAAGTCTTACCATATTGGAACTCCTAGGCTTTTGTCCCTCCCTAGGAACCAGAAGGATCCTCACTTTATCAGGCTCTCTCCATGTTCAGGGGCAGTCCATCACCTCTGAATCCCAGTGCCAGGAGGCTACCTCAGGGGAAGGCCTCAGCCTCTTTGCCCTGTTGTTGGCCCACCTGAGGAACTGGTTGGCCCCTGTGTGAGACAGAGCTTGGAAGCTACACATGGGCAGCCCTGGATAGTAGTTGGATGGGATACCACCAAGCGTTTGGAGCAGAGGTCCATCAGTGGCTATTAGCCACAAGGTATAGATAGGGACTCTGGGGCAAGGGGTGCTCTGTCTTCTTGGTGCTTGGGGAGGTCAACAGTGGGAGGGCTTCTAGTGTCCTGGCCCCACCACTGGACCTCCTGATGGCACCTGGTATTTCTGGCCACTGTGTGACACAGAGTGTTGGACTAGATGAGCCTTTGGCCTGATCCAACATTGGCGTCTCTTATGTTCTTATGTTATGGAAGGCCAGGGTTGTTACTCGGGGGCAGATGATGGCAAACTGCCTCTGTTCACCTCTTGCCATGAAAACTCTACGGGGTCACCATAAGCCAGCTATGACTTGAGAGCCCTTTCCACCACCAGAAGGTTTTCTGTCCTGGCACTAACCAGTTCCCAACCTACATGGCTTCACCAAAGCAGCTGCCTTTCACTTTGGAGGAAGCTTTGAGCTCACTAAGAGAGACTTTTTGCAGCGTTCATTGAAAAATTTGGATAAATATTTTGGTATTTGGCAACCTTGTGCTTGGAAATATCCGTTGAACTCCCTGAGGAAGACACTGAAACAGGAGGATATCTGGACCTCTGTCGGAGAAAGACTGAGCACTTATTCAAAATAGACTTAAAGGAGTCCTCCCTCTTAAAACTTTTGTATAATTAAGGAGGACTGATATTAGTAAAGGGGTTGTGCAATGTCTTTTGTGATATATTAAGAGACGATACTTAGATGTTTTGATATATGATTCTTTCTATGTATTAAGGCTTATAGGATAAATAATATATGGTGAATAAATTGTAAAAATATAAAACAAAAAAATATATAAAAATTATTTG